AGCTTCTACCATTTTAAATCTATTGGGATTTTCATTTACATATGCTTATTAATTCTAAACAAGCTCACGTGTCTATTGTGAAAAAAAACCAGAAAAGACTGAATTCTGACTCTTTTCATTTGATCATTATTTATAAAATGAGTGTTTTTTGACACAGAGTCCAGCATCAGTGAGGGAGACAGTACAGAGGTTAAGTCATTTGCCTTGCATGCAGACAACTCGGGTTTGATCCCCAGCACCTATGGTCCCCTAAACCCCACCAGAAGTGATCCCTGACCACAGAGCCAGAAGTACGCTCTGTGCACAAGATGTGGCCTAAAGACGAAAAACTAAAATTCAAAACCTAATCCAGCATCCTGCTTGTAGACCCCATCTCTATTGACGAAAATCAAAATGTACAACGGTTGCCAGAACACTGTGAAACATTCTGCAAAAACAAAAATAGTAAGTAGGCTAGGAACAAGGTAATAAGACTGATGCATTGACAAAGGAGCAAAAAATATACTAAAAAAAAATGCCACAGGGAAGAATGAAAATACCAAGATAGAGGACAGCTTGATACCAATAAAGTCCAAAAAGATGTATAAAGTTTTGAACATTTTAATCCTTAAATTCTACTCTATGTTGCACTGTAAGAGACTATGTAAAAAATTTCTTAACACCACAATTCAATAAAAGTCTTGTATTTGTGTAATTTATAGAGAATAAATTCATAGAACCAAAAACTAAAGTTAGCTAATTGGAAGTTATGTAATTAGCAATTTACTAGCATCCTTTTTCAGATCCCTGAAACACATTTCTCAGTACAAAATCTACAATAAAGAACATAAACTTACATTCATTTTTTAGGCATATTTCAGTGAAATTAAGTAAATAAATTCTGAATGCCTTCTTGGGGCAATCATTTTTCTGAATTATCCAATTACTAGATTATTCATTGTAGTGAGAAAAAAGGAAATATATTACACTAAAAAGGCATTATATGATGGATATCACACTTTTATAAATAGTGTGAATTCATAGCATAAAGTAGGAAATAAGTATTTTCTGATATTTGTGGTCTAGAATATTATCTATCTCAAAAGCTTTTAAATAGTTAACTGTTCAAAGATTCTTAATTATTTTTTCTATTAAAACAAAAACTATTAATAAAATTTCTAAGCTTTATACTTGACTTGGAAATGCTCCCTTAAAGAATAGTTGGTAAACATTATTATTTTAACAATAGTTCCCATATTGTCATGGTTTATTAAGACATTAGAACTTGAGCGAGTGGAGCACAGTAACTATCTCCCCCAATTTTTCTTCTCTGTGAATCCTGAACTTGCAACGTTACTTAAAGGATGTTACAAAATTTTTTATATCAAATCTCACCATAATAGTGCCAATGAAACTGTTTCTAACTTTATAATTTCTGAAAGATGAAATAAGACTGGTGCAAGTACTTTTAAAGTTACATTTGGGGATGTTGTAATTAGAAAAGAAATTAATATGATGTTGTAATTAAAATTTACTGTGGCTTTGGCAATAGCCATAGCAATGGTGTCATGGCTCCAAAGTTTAAGAAGATTCTTCCAAGTTGGATTATTTAAACTCAAAATACATAGATGGATTTTTCTTGGAAAAATATCTATTGTTACAGTAGAACTTGAGTTTCCTCTCTAACAAGATTGTATGATTACTCGTTTATATTGTTCTTTCCGCAGGAATTCACACACCTCCTGTTTGCATCCTGTTATTCACCAAGCGCTTCCCTTAACTTTGCTATACTGTTTCCCAAATAGAGGGAGAGTAGGTTTTAACAGCACATAAAACCTCTAATCAGGTGTCTGCATTTAGTTTTTGTTTAGATATAGGATTACCTTGAAAATTTTATTCTTGGTGTTCTCTCAAAATATTACATTGCCTTAGGCAGGGGGAGAGTTGGATGTGGATGTATACTGGGGACATTGGTGGTGGATAATGTGTACTGGTGGAGGGATGGGTGTTTGATCACTGTATAACTGAAACTCAAACATGAAAGCTTTTTAACTATCTCATGGTGATTCAATTAAAAAAATAGTGTGCTTCAAAGTAAAAATGTAATAAAAATTATATAAATCAGCTAATAAGATCCTACTGTCAATATACTTAATAAGAATAAAAGGTTAAGTATAAACTCTTTAATGAGGAACTGAAAAAATACTTTTTAAAAACTCCATGATGAGCCCTGTTAGCACACTGATGTTGGTGCATACCACCAGTGACTCACACTTGAATGTGGCTTAATTAACACAAACTGCAGCACCAATGTCATGTATTAAATCATGACATTCTTTGTAAGACAGAATGTCTTTGGAATTTGGAATCAATTTTACCTGAAGTATTGAACAGGACTTACATACCTAATAAATATATATATGTGTGTGTATATACTACATATACATGTGTATCTCTATCCTTATCTATATGCAAATATCACACACACACAGCATAGAAGGTTAACAATGTTAGTATGTGTGTGGCCTAGTAGCTACTCTCTAAGCAGTTTCAATTCTCCATTATTTCTAAATTTTGCACAATCTCCACTTTCACTCCCCAATTTTTAAAACATATGCTTTGAATTCACATTATGAAGGAGCAGGAAATAAAGAATAAAATGATTCAAATACACTGATACCAGGTTGAGTAATCTCCCTAAGGGCAGAAGCCACTTCTTCCTCAGAATCCCTCACTATAGGGTCAGTTGCTAAGACATCATAAGCATAAATTCTGTGGATGAAGAGAGCATCTCAAGAAGCTACAAGTGGCCTTGAGGTTACTATCTCCAATAGTAACGCTCAGACTTCAACATGCACCCAATCTCACAAAGGTAAGATCTGTTTTTGTTTTAATTTTGAAGGAGGTTTAGAGCCACACCCAGTGGTGCTCAGGGTTTTACTCTTGATTCTGCATTCAGGGATTAATCCTGGTGTGGCTCTGTAGACCAAATGGGGCTTGGATTGGTTGGGCCAAGTGCTAGGTAAGTGCCTTACCAGCTGCAATATGACTTCATCCCCAAGATTTGTTATTTCTAACACGTTCTCAGATGATGCTGAATATTGCTTGTCTAAAGACTACATTACGGTAACTGGGGATTGAGGAAAAAGTTCTAGAGTTTTACTATATAAAGGATTCCAGAAAGCAGAACTGAAATATGGTCAGGAAAAAAAAAAAAAACCAAACCAAAAAAATAAAATCACCACCCTACATAAAGCAACTGGTTCTAGTTCTACCACAAAACAACTATATAACTGAGTCATGCACATATACTCCTATATAACAAATTCCAAACATGAAATATAATAGATAAAAGTTCAAATTTCCAAGACCTTTTATATAGATCAGATAAAATTTCAGTGTCTGATGTGAAACTTTGATATGTATTCTTCCTTAAAATTATTATCCTCAAATCACTGTAGAGTGCTCACTACAACTGTTAAACTACATTCATAGTAAAGAAGCAAGCAAACAAAATACCATTCCGACAGAACACATCAAACCATCTAAATATAAACCTAAGGGGAAATGAGTTATTTTATAATAGACTAGACATAAATTACAAATTCAAGTATCTGTGAATGTGTTAATTAGGCACTTCCGAGTGACCTAAAGTAGCACTGTCAACACTGAGAGCTTGTTTGAAATCAAAATCACTAACCACACCTAAACCTACTGAATAAAAACCTTTGTGTAACAGGACTCCTGTGTGTTCCTATGTTAAAATCTGAGAAGCACTAATGTAGGCTCATAGATTCTATCATTAATTCTCCATATTGTTTGAAAATAACATCATACACTTAAAACATGTCTAAAGGATATTTTACATATATTTTCTTAAGAAATAAATTTCTTACATATAAACAGAAAAACAAATTCAGGATTATTTTACCTGAAAAAGACATACTGCAACATTGTTTTCAAACAAAAATTTAAATTATTTATGATGAGTAGAGAAGTTGAAAAGGAATTATGGTCCATGCCTTGCAAGTGGTCGAGCCAAGTTCCAGTCTTAGCACCACATGGCCCCCAATCATCTTAGCTGTAGCCCTGGAGACACCCCAGCACCACCATATAAATAGACTCTATGGACCATCAAGGAGGTAATCTGTGTAATTCCCCGTCCTACAGTGCTCAAAGCACTGCACCCTAAAACTCTTCATTAAAACACTGACCTAGTTGGCTTGGAATTGCCAGCAGTAGCGCTTGGACCCCTTTACATTCTCCCTTTCAAATAGTATGGAAAAAACTGAGCTCAAGGTATTTGATTTTTGGGTTTTTGGGGTATTTTCTTGGGCAACACCCAGCAATGCTCTATGCTTACTCCTGCTTTGTGCTCATGGAGCACTCCTTGGGGTGCTCAGGGAATCAGAGGGTTCCTGGGATGGAATCTGGGTGGACTGTTTGCAAGGCAAATGCAAACAATACATGTTGGACTATCTGACTGGCCTGAAGTCCAAGTATTTAACTGATTTGGATACAGTTCTAGTTTGTCAATGGCATAGTTGAGACTGAAATCCATTTCTATTGACTCCTAAAATGAAATAACTCTTTCTGGCTGAAAATACTTAAAAATTACACTTCATGATGTTACTATGTTGCTCATATAAAACAATAGAATACATAAAACCTATTATAGTAAGTTTAGCAAAAGTATATCATACTACTTTTTTAAGAAAAACAAAAACTATAAAATTGAATTAGAAAAAAGCAGAATTGGAACTTGACATAATATGGGTTACATTTTTAAACACATTTTTTAAATGACTTCATATATCATTTAAATGGCAGTATCTTTGACAAATCTAGAAAATAGTTTTATAGAACTATTAATTTCTAATTTTTGCTGCATTTCATTATTCAGCAAAACTTTTCCACAGATAGCAAATCATAACAACTTTCAACACAGAAACAAACAGCCATAGTCAACCTAAGTATTTTGTAAGTGATTAGAGAAAAAAAAATTAACTCATTAGTCTTACCATCAAAGAAGCTTTTGGCTCTTAGGTAACTGACACTGAGTCTAAGAACTGAAAGCTTGTCCAGCTTATTAATAACATCTTGTGGAAAGGGCAACAGGCTTGCCAAACGGTCCAACTCTGTATTCAGTCGGTCTCTATGTCGCTTGGAAGGGTTTGACTTGATTCCTTCAACAGGAATTGGCTTGACACTGTAAAGAAAAAGAATACCATAAAACTCTTTAAAATGTATAAGACAAAATTTTTCTATTATACTATAACATCTCCACAAATATCTCTCTTAGAAACACCTAAAATGTACTTGGGGTGTAAATAAATCCTTTTTGAAAAGCTCCCTTTTGTATCTTAAGAAAAATGAGAGAATGAGCAAAATTCCTCATAAAGCTTTAGCAACATACGACTTCATCAGAGGAAAATGCCAACTGCACTTTCTATAGTTCATACATATGCGGTCTACTGATTCACCACTAACTCTACCAGGAATTTACCCCCATCATTCACAGGCTCTGTAAGAGAAAGAGGCAAATCTGCATCATAAAAATCATGCTTTCTTTTCTATGTTCTACAAAAAGCATCCTGCTATCATTTGTTGTACATAAACACCAGCATTCTAAATGAAAAGTCTATCTGCACCATCCCCAGCTTCCTAACTTCCCTAACACTTTCATTCATTTCACTGACCCTCTCAAAGTTTTCTGGTTCTGATACCTCCAGATTATTCTCTAGCCATTCTTTTCCAAAATTAAGTCAAATAAAATGCTGACTTTAGTTTTTTCTGTTTATTGATTGATGAATATGTTAACTCTCATTACTGTACATTTTTTCTCTCACAACTTGTCCAGTAATTCTACATATTATCATAATACAAGTTTCAATTAGAAAATGCAATGAAACCCTAACATTTAGTATAAATTTCCCTACACTCATTTTATTTTTTATATTTATAGTAAATGCAGAAAATATATTCAAAAATGAGAAATTAGAGGCAAGAGATATAGTTCAACCAGAGAGATGTAGCCAATCTGAGATAGATTCCTGGCAGCCCATATGGTCCACTCAAGGACCTGATTCCTGAGTGAAGAGCCAACAGTAAGTTCTGCCACCGGGTGTGGCCCAAGACAACAAGCAAAATTAACAAAAAGAAACTGGACAACTCTACATAAAAGCCTTGGCTAGGATTTCATAAGAAAAATTCACCTTTTAAAGTGATCAGCAGATAGACATGCTAAAATATAAAGACATTTAAAAAAAAAAGTAATCTGTACTTGTCTCTGCACCTTTCCAACTGCCAGAAAAAGAACTGTAAACTACTATAGCAAAAACATTTTTGTCAATTCAAAATAAACTATAGCATCTCAAAGTATAGAAAGTGGCTTAAGTATTGCATAATTTGCCCCAATGAAAACATTTCTAAGTAGTTTGTTTCTTCATTGTTATATGTGAAATATAATTTAACTAAAGAAAAAGATGATGAAATAAACATGAAACGTGAGTGCTTTTATACCCCTAAGTAATTTTAGATTTTTGCCTATTTTTTTCTATTTTCTATTTTTTTCTATAATACTTGCTATTTCTAAAAAAATAAGTACTAATTGGAAATGTGACATACATACAAGATAAATCAAGTAGAAATTTTCTCCAGACTGTATTATTTTATATACTTAAGTGAAACTGATAACTATTTCTCTTGCTATATTTCCCTTGTTATGTTCCTCCAGTTATACTGAATGCATAACCCATATTATACCAGTGCTCCAGTTAATTAACTACATATCAGCTTATACCTGTAATACATATGTATCTCAATGAACAATTCTTGACTGATCCCTACCTTGTTTACACAAATATTTACCTGTTTCTTGTCTGAGCAGCCTAGGCAAATATACCCTTTGCCTACCTAGCCAAAAAGTACGGAGATCCCTGTTCCCTGGAAGAAACCTCAAAAACAACAAAAACCCCACTTATTTCACTTTTTGTTTTCAGAAAGATGTATCTTGAGTTAACAGGGGGAATTCAGGAGAGGTGTGTCTCAGGAATGGTGAACTATGAGAGACCCCCCCCCCCCCCCCCCACGCACACCCCATTTGAAGCAAGAAGCAAAGGGTACAACAGAGAAGAGGAAGCTGGTTGGGTCCACATTCTTCCAACAAATATTGACCAACTACTCTGTGCCAATCACAGCAAACTAAGCAGCGAACAAAACATGTTCTTGTTCCCATGAAGGTTACAGTAATTCTACTGAGAAATAGAAATACATACACACACACACACACACACACAAAACACGTATCCTTTCAGACTACTGAGTGTTAAAAATAACAAGAACTAAGGAGTGACAGGCGTGTTTGTTGAGAGCTAGGGAAGAATTTTCCGGTATGTCATGTCTTCACAGACATACAGTAAAGAATTGAGTGACTAGAAGTTTAATGCAGAAAGTTTAAAGATATATGAAACAGCAAGGTTTCTCACAGTACTAATAAGAAAACTGTACTTTGGTACCTGGGAGTCACTGTAAGCTTTCAAGGGAATTTACCTGACAAGTTTTATGTTTTACTAAACAGGTACTGATGATAGACAGGACAGAATACAGTGCAGCTCTCACTGAAGTTGGTACTTCTTTCAAAAAATACAAACCCTTGTTACATTTTTCAAACCTTTTTCAAACCTCTCAGGAGCACCTCACAATCCACATTGCTTAGCCAAGCAGATAAAAACCTTCTAGATCTTTCTAAAGCCCCTATTTCTTTGACTTTGTTCCCTGTAGCCAGAGCTTTCCTTGTCTACTATACTTTAAGAAACAGGGGCTGGAGCAATAGCACAGCGGGTAGGGCATTTGCCTTTCATGCGGCTGACCCGGGTTTGATTCCCAGCATCTCATATGGCTCCCCGAGCAACACCAGGAGTAATTCATGAGTGCATGAGCCAGGAGTAACCCTTGTGCATTGCTGGGTGTGATCCCCCCAAAAAATACTAAGAAATAGGTGTCATACATATTACTTCTTGAATCTCTGTTTTATCACACTCAAGAAAATTATTTTTGAAGTGTCCCTGTTCTATTTACAAAGGATTCCTCCAGTACTATTTCTGTGCATTATGCTTTGGTTGCAAATTTCTTACTCAACTATTTCATTGATATTCTGTCCAGATAACATCTCTCATAAGCAAACTGAAATCCAGTTTTGCCATATTGGTGGTTTTCCAGTGGTAATTATAAAACATTGGAGGGAAGAAAATAACAAAAACACAGAAGCAAAACAAGCTGTTATAATACGTGGAGATAATAACAGAAAGAAAAAAAGTTGAAAAATGTCACTGTTTATGTGTATTGACTCTGCATATTCACTCTTATACCAAATGTGAATTTCTTTACACAACGCATAATAATTGCTCACTTCTCATTTTTCACAGTACGTACTAGTTAGCATGAGCTCAGATTTCCTAAACTCTTAGGTAACCTATACTGTATGTATTTTGTTGTCGTTCTTATTACTATGCAAACATACTCATTTTTGTATCCCCATTGCACAGTACTTTAACTGTGAATCTACTATGGATTCACAATTAAAACAGGTTAATCTCATCAGTGCCTGACTACAGCCAATGAAAGCAGGTACACTAAAGGCTGGCTTGAGATATTTCAGCAAAGCAGTTTATGCTTATGACAAAGCATGGTACATAATTACATAAGTAACAGATTGGTAATCGTTTTCCTGATTTCACCTAATCACACAATATTTATAACCAAATTAAATTACAATTATCTATTGCATTTCTCCTCTTTTCCAACTAAATTTCAACTTTTTCCTACAATTCTTATTTTATCAAATAATTCTCTACAAACCAGCAACTTGTAAACACAAGTATCTATCTTCAACTAATATATGCAAAATGGCACAAAGCTTGAACCAGAATCAAATGCTTTTTAACAGCTGATTTGCTGTGTGACTAGGTACAGAAAGTAGAAAGAGGAAAATATTTTGTGTGTAATAGCCACAAATGATGTTTTCAGCATAAGAAAAGAACTCTATTTCCTAGTGCAAGATCCAGACAGAGAGAGAACTCCAGTGATATCAACATGAGGCTGAGGAAGTAATGCAGTTTAAGATGACATGAGAGAAACATGAAAAAAAAAAAGAAAGAATATTCTGGAGGTCATAGATCAAAGCCAAATGCACAGTGGAATTAAGATCATGGTTGAAAACTATTGGCTAGATTTAGGATTCCAATTTCACTTTTGTCAAAGCTACAAGTACTATGATATACTTTTTCACCGATTTTGGAAGAGAAATAAAAATGATTCTGTGGAAATATTTATGCTTAGCTTTACATACTGAAGATGCACAGAATAATTAAAAAGAATAATTCTACTTCAACTACACTTGACTGGGGCTTGGCAGAATTTTTTTTTTGTACTGCTTTCAATCTATGCCAAAACATACTGCCATCTACTTAAATGAAAGTCTATAATTAAAATATAAGTAAACATTCCTTTAAGAGTGGGATTGGGAAACTGCTATACCTAAGATGCCATCAGGCAGTAGAGCAATTATTTTTTTTAAATCTCAAAAATCTTGTCCCAATCTATAAATCAAAATTATTGTGCCATCAAGGCTCCAGATGACTGCATGTCATGCTTCTGTTTTAAAAGCCTTGCACACTTTAAGTACTGATGGTAGCAGGCCCAAGAGTGTGTCAAATGTCACTTGAATCTGTCGTAAAGTCTTCTTATATCCCAGTCCAAAATGTCTGGTAAATTAATCACTCATACCCAGTGTTTGAAACAAAGTTGGAAAGTTAATAATCCAGTTTAAACACAAATTACTGTAACTTTAGACGTTTATATTTTGTCATTTAACATAAAACTTCAAATAGTCTGCAATGGTAGTTTTAGAAATTCTCTGGATACAGTAACATTTTTTCCCTAAAAACCATTATCTCCCACACAACTGAATTTACTGGATCAGCTTGCTTTCTTTTCTGTCAGTTCACTTGTTAAAAACTAGCACCTGAATGCCCTCTAATTTATCTTTTCTTGAACTAAGGCATACTTTTCGTATGCTATTACTCTCCACCTAACAGTTAGGAAATAGGAGAATTCCTCACCAAATCTCACCATACCAGCATGCCCAAATCAACCCCTGAAGAGCCCCAAATCTATTCATTGTTCATTTCCCCCCATGGCTTTAGTGTA